GCTTTTCTCAGTCGGACTTATTTTTGAAGTGTTTTTAGGTCAAGTAATTAGTATTAATTATGTCCAGCCTAGATTTGAGTGCATTTAGCTATTTAAAACACTGGGATTGCATGTTGTGAGGATTTGAGGGAGGAAATGGCAGTCTAGCGCACAATGATTTCCCAGGGCTGTTCTGTTTCAGCTGGCGTGGTCGTCTTCATACATAATGAATCAGACTCCAATCGGAGCCCTGCTGTTTTAAAGGCTCTTCTGTGTCCACTACACACTGCGCTCAGATCACACACACACACACACACACACACACACACATGTGCAAGGTGTCGCCAACATGCTTCATTAGAGAAACAAATTCCCCATTATTACAGAATAATGCTAATTAACGCTAACTGTATTTGCATATGCATTATTATCTGCACATGATGGCTACTTCTTGCTTTGATAAATAGATAAATAATTACGTTTCTTAAATTTGGGGTCGCAAGAGTTTTAAAAAATATTTTTGAAAGTGTCTTCTGCTCACCAAGGCTTCAGTAATTTGATCGAAAATGCAGTAAAAGCTGTAATATTGTGAAATAGTATTACAGTTTAAAAGAGCTGTTTTCTATGTGAATATATTGTAAAATGTAATTGATTGCTGTGATCAAAATCTTGAATTAATTTTTTTGAATTCTTGAATTCTCAGCAATATTTCGCCAGTCTTCAGTGTCACATGATCTTTCAGAAATCATTCTAATATGCTGATTTACTGCTCATTTATTATGTATTTCCATTATACCATTTTAGTTATTGTTCATATTTTAAATTAGATTGTTTATTTTTTTGTTTTAATTTTAGTTAACATTTTAGTAATAATTCTTTTTATTAGTTTTATGACTCTTTTGTAATATTATAAATATATGTTTTAAATGTTTTGATCAGTTTAATGCATCCTTGCTAAATACAAATATTCGTTTATCTGATTTAATATTATTTATTGATTTAATAAACAAAAAATAAAAAATTCTAAAAGGTCATACAAAATAAAAAGATTATTTATTATAAAGACCATACTTAATTTTAATATATACTTAATATATTTTATTTAGACATAAGCCAAAATCCCAGGATTTTTTTTTTTTTACATAAAATAAAAGTAAAACAATCTTAAAATCAACTATTATTGTTAAACACATTTAAAAAAGCAATACAATGTTTATCATTTACAATGTGTCATGGGATGAGTAATCTGTTGTCTTTTTTTTTTTTAAATACTTAAAAAAAAATAATAATCTGCCTAACATCTGCTATTAAAGCACAGGATGGCAAACATTATCTCAGCAACTTCTAGACTTATTTTCAGTTAGTAACTTCCATGCAAGAATTAATTATTATAATTTAGGTTCAAATGAACATATTATTGGTTACATTTTAAACTGAGAATTATATTTTTGCTTTTTTTTATTGTAGTGTGAGCTCCCCGAAGCCTGTAACGCTTGCTTCGCCACCCACATTCAACACAATGCCAAACTACAGGAAATTGATATTCAGCCTCTCGCTGCATGACTGAACATTTTATATCAAAGAGAAAGCCACTTTGATGTGTTACTGTGGCTGGAGATCTGAGACTGGGAAGTGTCAAGTGAGTCGTTCACAGCGGCTGAAGTTTGCTAATGCTGGAGCTGCTGCTGACCAAAACAAACTCTCTGACAGGACAGAAGAGAGATCTGGGATGAGCAAAACATCCACTTATGTGTGCGATAAATAATTCAGTCTTCAGTGAGTTATTAGAAACTTCAGATGACATCAGTGCAGAGTTAACTACAACTAAAACCATAAAAAAATACATTTTTGTTACCTGAAGTAAACATTAACTAACATGAAATATTTTTAAAAATAATAAACTTTCGTTAAGTTCACTTACTAAAATAACGAAACAAAATTCAAACTAAAAAAAAAAAGAAATCATAAAATCTAAAAATAAAACCTAATTAAAAATAAGAGTACAAAAGTATTTACAAAATGAATCTAGTATTTGCATTAATATTAGTGCACATATTAGATTTGGATTTTATAAATTTCAAGCCCATCCAGTGTTATTTTCATATCATTAAGATACTATTATAATTTAATAATCATTTTAAATTATTATTTTATTTTCTACTTTCATAAAAAAATTTAAATAAGTAATTGTGTTGTGTATTTTTATAATTAATGTTTTTTAAAATGTCTAAACCATTTTGTTCATTTTTAGGTGTGCTTTTATTACAAAAAACATATTTTGTTCCTCAATATTTTTGACTTGTTTTCCAGTAAAAATATCTTAGCTTTCATAAATCAATATACATTTACTCGAAGCAAAATGCCTTTGATATTATGTCTACTTGTTTTCTTGAAAAATGTATTAAAATTAAGAGTTTTTGCTTAAAACAAGAGCAAAAATCCATATTTTAGCAGGTATTTTTCTTGTTTTAAGCAAAACCTCTCTTATTCTTGATACATTTTAGATAACCTATTTTACTTCAATAATCTTATATATTTTGATTAAACCAGGATATTCAAAGAAATACTTATTTTATAATTTTAAACGTGTCTGTATAAGAAGATTATAAAAATTCATGTTGATTTCGGCATCGCTTTAGAAAATATCAAAATGAGTGTCATTTTATTGGATGCCGTGACATTCTGACACTTAATGCGGCTTAATGGCCAAATACTTTTTGGTCTGCTGTAATGGATGAAAGAAAGAAAACTGTCCTAAACTATTGCAAAACCATAAAAAGCAATGAAAATGTGATGAGACCGTTATTAATACAGAATGCATTTATGAAGCTGTTTCACATCAGATCTGCTCATAGCCTGAGGAGAAAACTCAGCGTAATGCTTTAAAATCATAAACCTCAGTATTTCCACTGAATCCAATGATCCAAAACTTATGGAAATGTCAGAAAATTTCAGCCTGAAGAAATGGCTTTTTATCCAGAAAAAAAAGTGAGGCTAAAAGAACAACTTCAAAACATTATAACTCCTTTTGATATTGACAGGAGTTTGATGTAAAAATGATTCATGGTTAAAAATAGTCATGTTACATTAATGTCCCAACGAGTAAATGATGACATTTATATTCTTTAAAGGAATAGTTCACCCAAAAATGAAAATTTGCTGAAAATGTCCTCACTCTCAGGCCATCCAAGATGCAGATGAGTTTGTTTCTTCATCAGATTTGGAGAAATGTAGCATTGCATCAGTGTCTCAGCAATGGATGCTCTGCAGTGAATGGGTGCCGTCAGAATGAGAGTCCAAACAGCTGATAAAAACATCACAATAATCCACAAGTAATCCACAGCACTCCAGTCCATCAGTTAACATCTGGAGAAGAAAAGAAAAAAAGAAATCTATAATTATAAGTGATTAAATACAAGATTAATAGTAGTTATTAAGATTGATGTCGTTTGGAATTGGTCAAATGTGCTTGGAAAAAATATAATCAGAATATCAACTTGCATAATAATTATGCATGCACTGTATTTTTCCTCTTCTGCTGTCGAGGTAATGCAAGGAATGTTGTTATTGATTGTCAAGGCAGCCAATCAGAATTTAGCAGCCTCGTCTCCGATTGGCTGGGATTATGGCATATTGTAAGGCTGGGTTGTGTTGAGCAAGCGAGCCGTTGGCATTTAGAGAGCACTGAGGGGAGTAAGCTAGTGAAACACTGCACGCGCAAAAGAGAAGGTCTGCACAAATCCAAACTTATTTTAAATGCAAAATTGATTTTCGTGCGCTCGACATACCTTTTTCTTTGCGAAACGAACATTTTCTCCACAAAACTCAGATCGCGCGCATGCAAAATGCACTTTTGTGCGGTCAAAATATGATCTTTCACGCCTAAAACTCTCAAGTCCTTCAAGCCTATAAATATCCAGCCACATATTTGTTTCAAGCTGTTTTGGACTGTTTTGGCTTGTAAACGGTGCTTGATCTGTGCAGATTTCTCTCCTGATTCAGACCAGAACACTTTTTCACTGGAGGAATCGTTATTATGGATTATGGACTCGTATTTTAGCAACGGTTTGAAGTTAAAAATACCTTAATGCTGGATTTGTTTCAGCTTTTGTCTTCTCCAGATGTTAACTGATGGACTGGAGTGCTGAGGATTATTGTGATGTTTTTATCAGCTGTTTGGACTCTTGGACTGGTCGGACTTGTAACCCGAAGGTCGCGGGTTTGAGTCTCCAGTCCGGCAGGGATTGTCGGTAGGTGGAGTGAATGTACAGCGCTCTCTTCCCCCTCAATACCACGACTGAGGTGCCCTTGAGCAAGACACCAATCCCCCAACTGCTCCCTGGGCGCCGCAGCAATATGGCTGCCCATTGCTCCGGGTGTGTGTGTGTGTGTGTGTGTGTGTGTGTGTGTGTGTGTGTGTGTGTGTGTGTTTGTTCACTACTGACTACTGTGTGTGTGCACCTGGATGGGTTAAATGCAGAGCACAAATTCTGAGCACGGGTCACCATACTTGGTCACATGTCACTTCAATTCACTTTATTCTGACGGCACCCATTCACTGCAAAGGATCCATTGGTGAGCAAATTCATGAAAAACATGCATTTAGTATAATATGTTGGAAGTTTTTTTTATATATTTTTTATTTGTAAGTTTTTCAGAAAATACAAAACAGAACAAAATCCCACAAACTGTAGGCCTATACAAATAGTACGCTATACGTGAACTAACCATACAAAGGGGAAAAAAACAAACAAACACCCGAACACACACCAGGTACTGTGAAAAATACACTCCTTAAACAAAGCCATACTTAATCAGACTTAAAATATTAAAAATAGAGTGGAATAATCAAAAATCAATGTTCTCTATGTTACATGTGTTGGAAGTTTTGACTTTTTTCTGAAACATTTTTCAGTTTAATAAAATAATGTGCGTGTAAACAAAACTGCCTCTTGCAGGAGGTCCAGTCAGTTGCGGCTCATCTAATAGAGTTTGTCTGATGTTCTGCCATCTCTCTGTGTTCCCATTACAGCCTCTAATGCTCTGTTTCGATTTTTTGGCTTAGATCTTTCACTTCTTCACATCTACAATCAGTGTAATCCCACCCGCCCTAAAATGACCTGCTCATGATTTCCAAAACTCTACCGTCACGTGCATTTCGGCAAAAACAAGAGAAGTTTAGGTAATTGCAGATTGCAAAACTAATTTGCCTAAACTGTGTTTCATTCCCTAGAGTTTTGCTTCAACTGAAGTGTTTCCCCAAGTATCAATGAAATCTCTCGACTCCCGCTGACTTCCTTTGCTGCTGCTTTCATCTCTTTTCTTTTACTTTTTTCCAGCGTATAGGTGCTCCGGCTGTGAACGATGAAGTAACTTGTGATGTTGCAGAAATGCGTGAATGTTAATGCGATGGTTCATACTGATGTCACATGGTGAATTGGATGTGCATCGGAGTCAGGATCCCCAAGTGGCCCGAATCTGGTATGAAAAGATGCAAAATAACCAAAAACATTCTGGGAGAAACTCCCAGCATGTAGCATCAACGTGGCCTAATTTGCTGAGTTTATAAGATTTAATTTCAAGCCCAGAAATTTTTTGTTTTAGTCCCTTAAAGGAATAGTTCACTTAAAAATGAGCATTTACTGAAAATGTCCTCACTCTCAGGCCAACCAAGATGTAGATGAGTTTGTGTCTTCATCAGATTTGGAGAAATGTAGCATTGCATCAGTGTCTCAGCAATGGATGCTCTGCAGTGAATGGGTGCCGTCAGAATGAGAGTCCAAACAGCTGATAAAAACATCACAATAATCCACAAGTAATCCACACCACTCCAGTCCATCAATTAACATCCTCAGAAGACAAAAGCTGAAACAAATCCATCAAGACTTTTTTTAAAAATCTAAAATGCAGGTCCATAATCCATAATAACGCTTCCTCCAGTTAAAAAGTTGTTTCATTTGAATCAGGAGAGGACTCTGCACAGATCAAGCACAATTTACAAGCCAAAACAGCTCTAAAGAAATATATGGATGGATTTTGATAAGAGAGACAACAGGATATGGACTTTTTTTACTGGATGAATCGTTATTATGGATTATGGGCTCGTATTTTAGCAACAGTTTAAAGTTAAAAACGACTGATTTGTTTAATATTTTGTCTTCTCCAGATGTTAACTGATGGACTGGAGTGCTGTGGATTATTGTGATGTTTTTATCAGCTGTTTGGACTCTCATTCTGACGGCACCCATTCACTGCAGAGTATCCATTGCTGAGACACTGATGCAATGCTACATTTCTCCAAATCTGATGAAGAAACAAACTCTACATCTTGGATGGCCTGAGGGTGAGTCATTTTAAACAAATTTTCATTTTTGGGTGAACTAATTAATTGATTTTGGGTGCTATTAATTGATAACAAGGTGTCTGCTGTGTAGTTAACTTCAGCAAATGAAGCGACAGGTACTTTCGTACAGTACACTCAAATGAATTTGCATAACATATCAGCAGTGTGTTTGCCTCGAACGCTCCTGTGGGTTATGAAGGGAATGAAACAATGTCTTCTTCAAAGCAGTCACACATTAAAGACATGAAGTCTGAAACTTGTGCTTCAAAACTGGCAGCATGTTCTCTTCTATTCCACTTGACTTGTAGCAGGGACGATATAAAATTAAAATTCATATGAATGCTGTAAGTAGAATGGAAACAGAATGGAGACGTGTGATAGATGCTGTACATTAGAAAATGTTTGTTTGACAAACATTGCAGCACAGATGATAAGACCATCTTCTGCTAAACTACAGGACTCTGCAATTGATTTCTTGGGATATGTTTAGATTTTTTCCCCCTTTTTTTTAAAGAATGTATGGATTAAAGTGCAGAATTTTCATTGGCAATCACAGATATCTTCAAAACAGAAAATAAAAAGAGACTTGGCTATAAAGTAAGAAGTAAACTCTATTAGGGCTATTAGAAAATGAACCCCCCCCCCCCCCAATAAAACAAGTTGTGTGTATGTATGCGTGTGTGTGTGTTTATATAAATTGAATATTATATATATGTGTGTGTGTGTGTGTGTATTGTCATTTAGTTTAACTTGATGTGCTAATTTAACTAAAAGTGAAAATGAATGAAAACTTATATAGTCATAGTTTCAAAAATAAACAATAACTAATATAAATAAAAAAAATAACAAAAACTTTAAATGAAATTAAAATGAAAATGTATTATTATTTTTTTTCTGCTTTGCAAGAAAAAGTTTTATGCAACACACTTTGCTAGCATTATAAGCGGACCTTATAGGGAAAAATAAAATGAAATGCCCCCTTTAAATTCTGTGAGATGCTCCTGTGAAAAACTCACCTGTGTTTGGCTCGAGGGCATCAGATGCATGTATCTGTGATAAACTGCCCATTTCTTAGCGCTGCAATTTTAGACAGCAGTTTTAAATGGAGACCTTTTGGAAACACACAGCACTCATTCATTCTGAGACAAAAGAACAAATATATGAATGCATGGCCTATTGCCTTTACCTAAATCAATTTGTATGCACAACCTACTAGATCGACAAACACATAGTGGTGTGTGAAAGCAGGGCGGGGCAAAATTCATAATTTAAAGTTTGGCTTTTTTTCAATGCGTGAGTTCATTAAATTAGTCACTCAGGATTTTGAACTGGAATTTGAATGACAGGAAATCAGTGAAACAACAACAGAACATAATTACACCATTAATCTTTTTAATTATTTTTTTGTTTAAATAATAATTTTAATTTGGACTAATTATGCCTATTCATTCCCTTAAATGTAGAAAACATTTTTTTTCCTGGTTAGATTTAGTATTTATCCACACTATCCAATAGTGCCAAAACAATTAACAGCTATCAAAACAGATTGTAATTTTACTTTAAATTTCACCACATTGTTTTCAGATGTATAAACATCCATAATCTGCTCTATTTAATATTATTCAATAATAATACATTTAACTGTATATAATATGTTTTATGTATTAATTAATTGTTAATTCATTTGGATTTGTCTTTTTTTTTAATCTTGAAAATGTATTGTCAGTATTATTGATTTTTTTCATTCCATTTGTATTCTACTTCCTCAAATTCAAATTTCACATCCTGTTTACAAACTGATGATCTGAATTGTAATGTATTAGTGATTGTCAGTTCTATTGTGCCATGCACACACATACGCACACACACACACATGCACGCACGCACGCACACACACACACACACACACACACAGAGGTATAAAGGCAGCTCATGGCCGAACATCAACCTTTTGTTTTGTGCAGTTTTTCTTAAAGCAGAGTTGTATCTGGTGTTGTCAGGAGTGTCAGACACAGACTGAGCATGTTCTCTGTTCCACACAGCTAACTGAACTTTTGCCTCTGTTCCGTTAAATCCCAGCAGGCACTGGGGCTCTGGAAGGCAGCACAGGTTGCCAGTAGTTTCAGTTTAGTGTCTAATGATCCCTGAACCTCAGAAACCATAGAGGACCTTGATCTGCTCCGGCTCAAGGCCGTCCAGCACACCACACCAGCCCGAGACACAAAAAATAAATAAACAAAAGAATTGTTATTTTTCATTATTTTATAAAAGATATTTTGATTTGTTGTTGTTGTTATGGTATTCATGTAATGCCATTACACACACACACACACACCAAATTATACCTTTTTATCAATATTCATGATGTATTTACAATAAACTCCATATAGTGTCTCACTGCATTATTTCTATTATATATATATATAATATACACATTTTGTGTTTTTCAGGACAAACACCGCTCTGTGCCCATAAAACTACAAGGAGGACAAGCAAAAGGTACAAAATCACTTAATTTTTCCTTTTTTCCTTCATATCATATTAATGCCAATTGCTCGTTTTGTCATGATAACTGTTCATCTTTTGATCTTTGATCATAAGTAGCACAATTTCCCAGGAATGACCTGAAAATATCTACGTGAATACTTTATTTTCCTGCTTTACTAGTTTCAAAGAGAGACCTACTTTAATGATTATCAGAGAGGAGAAACCCGTATGAGACGGATTCAAAAAACTCTCAGCAAATAAATCAAACTGGAACAGGTCTATTTAGTCTTAAACACAATAATACCTGTGGTTCACAGAAGGTTCTGCTACAGGTTTTATCCAGTAAAAGTGAAGTGTTTTTAATCACCCATAAGCTTATTTCCCTATCATAACTCTGCATGATTATATAGTTAGTTGTCAGTTTAGGTCACGACCTGTTGGTTGAGAACCACTGCCTTACATAATAATTCTAGTTCGCAAAAGACAATATTATGTCTTGCCTTGCACTTAACGAAAAGCCTCCCGCTCTTTAATTAAAGGTAATGATGTTGTCTGTGACTTTAATGGAGGATGATGGATATGATGCCCTGCCGTTTGATGAACTATGCGTCATATATAATTTCACATGCCTGAGGTCACTTCTCTTGATAATAGACATAAAAGGACATCATTTCCATAGATAATGCATGAGATTTGGCTGTTTATAGTCCAAAATTGAGATTTGTGGAGCTTCTTTCTTCTCCCTGCAAGCCACAAAATTTTGATCCTCGATCAAAATTGGTGGTTGAACACAAACCGACCCCTGCTGACGCTGAAAATAACAGTATTTGGAGAAGCCGAGGTCCGTCCCACCACTGCTGGATTCGAGAAGAAGCTCTCAACACGCTTCTGGCCAAAACGGGCCCTGATAGATAATAGACAACGCTAGGGCTGGAGGAGAGGAAAGATTCAGTGACCGAAGAAAATGTGGAGGGAAAAAAACAGTAATAAGTTTCTGCGCTCGCCTTAACCTCGAGGGGACGACGCAAACTGCATGTAGAAATGGAGAGAGGGGGAAAATATGTCCTATAACCAAGGGTATGAAAGAGGGAACATCATTTAGACCATATTCAAGCAGCAAAACGACTTGTTTACCCTCATTGCCGTGAGACATCGCGACTGAAAACAGATCCATTTTCCAGGAAATCGCTGGGAAATTGCAGGAGCGCTGTGTTAGATCATATCGCCGGATACCTACGTCTAGTTTTCACCGCCATCATCTCCCAAAAAAAGCATCGCAGGCTTGTAGATTATGATGTTTACTGCAGCTCATGTGGGCAGATTGCTGGACTGTGCTTGTTTCAACAGGAAAGTCATGTGAATGAGAGTTTTCTAGGAATAAATTCAAGAAAGAAAAAAGAAAAAAAACTGACTTAGAAAAATTATTCAATAATTTATGGCACCAAAAAATAAAATAAATAAAATCTTCAACTTTTTTTTTTTGGAGGCCATAAATATACATAAGTGCTAAGTGCAAACACAAAAGCAAAAGGCAAGGATGAAACACTTTTATACATTAGGCACCTGGTCTTAGATATTTTACTGTACTACTTCTGAAAGAGTTAACCTTTATTCTTCAAATACATGTACTAATACTGAAGCCAGTTAAAAAGATATAGCAAGTTGTATACTTCATATAATAATTATATACATATAATTATAGAAGTAAATAAAAAGAAACTGGAAGAAATATGCATTCCAAATCCAATTGTAAGTCGCTTTGGATAAAAGCGTCTGCTAAATGACTAAATGTAAATGTAAATGTAAATAAAACCTTAAAATCCTCAAAATTATTAAATATTTATATACACAGATTTACTAAAGACGTTTTAAAGAATGCTTAAATACCATATAAATATACAATTCAAAGTTCATATGTGACCCTGGAGCACAAAAGCAGTGTTAAGTTGCTGGGGTATATTTGTAGCAATAGCCAAAAATACATTGTATGGGTCAAAATTATCAATTTTTCTTTTATGCCAAAAATCATTAGGATATTAAGTAAAGATTATGTTCCATGAAGATATTTTGTAAATTTCATACTGTAAATATATCAAAACTTAATGTTTGATTAGTAATATGCATTGCTAAGAACTTCATTTGGACAACTTTAAAGATGATTTTCTCAATATTTAGATTTTTTTGCACCCTCAGATTCCAGATTTTCAAATAGTTGTATCTCAGCCAAATATTGTGCTATCCTAACAAACCATACATCAATGGAAAGCTTATTTATTCTTAATTATGCATAAATCTCAATTTTTCATCAGACATCAGAGTACTGTAAAAAATGCAAATGTGTTGTTAAATTATCGAAATATTAACTTCAAGTAAATATTTTAGGTCAAATGTCAGGTTGGATTTGACCTCCTGAGGTGGATGAACATTAAATTCAGATGTGTCAGCATCTCCTTTCACTGACATTTTCTGAAAAAGAAAACCAACTTTTTTGTGAGAGTTTCGAGCTCTGTTTTGTACTCTGTGCGTGGAAAGTGCCAGCTGTCGTCAACAGGATTTGCATTCCTTAAAGTGGTTTCCGCAGAGTGTTTTCACTTGTGCTGTTCTTAAGGTGAAATTGCTTTCCTGGCACGTCCTGCCCACCATCTTCACCCACCTACAATAGCTAATGTTTTTAGTTTTTTCTCTCTGGGCAATTATTTCCCCCACACCCACTTATATTAATATATGCGTGTGTTTTTGATACTGGAGAATACAGTTTTGATGTTGATTTCTTGATTAGACTGTGCACAAGTCGAATCTGCACCAAATTATATTTCGAATGTGCATTTCACAATGCAAATGTGCGAAGCTTAGTTCACTCCAGTATTTCCAAACATGCACCGTTATTTTTATTGATTTTTTTTATAGCTCCATTAAATAATAATGCCAGAAATACATTTTAGTATTATTGAAAGAGACTTTGAGAGTTTGATATGTGGGTGTTGCACACAAACATGAAGGTAGATAAATGCAAGCTTGCATTTATTGCATTTCAGTTTTAAAATAAAAATATAGATTAAAAAAATTCAACTAAATGAAAAATGAGAAATGTTGCCTTGGCAACCAACAGAAATAAAAAAGCGTATAAAATAAGTTAAATTAAGTACTAAAATTACTACAACTATACATTTATTTAAAAAAATAAATTAAAGGAAATTGCAACTAAAAAAATCTATAGATAGATAGATGTACTAAGGGTCTGAATACTTAGGACCATGTGATATTTCAGTTTTTCTTTTTTAATAAATCTGCAAAAATGTCAACAATTCTGTGTTTTTCTGTCAATATGGGGTGCTGTGTGTACATTAATGAGGAAAAAAATTAACTTAAATGATTTTAGCAAATGGCTGCAATATAACAACGAGTGAAAAATTTAAGGGGGTCTTAATACTTTCCGTACCCACTGTATATGAGTTTAGCGTGCATGGGATAAAACCCGTTAAGTTTGCCTTTTTATTTTTTTTATCTAACAAGACTTGAGATAAAAAGTCGCAATTAACTTTTTGAAAAATGTTATTCAAGCTTCAGTAACAAGCTTATATAATATAATTAGCTTAATATAATTACCAACATTTAAACAACGATTAAAATAATAATAAAAAAAATAATAATAATAATAACAACAATAATAATAAATACAAATATTTTAGAATTTGAAAAAAAAAATGTACACATTGAAGAAATAGCATTTTAGGTGGACTGTTCTTTTTTTATATTTATTTTTTTATTATTATTATTTTTTTATGTTTGTTAGAATTGCCAGCAAATTGTCGAAGACACAAGACAGTGTTATTTCATAGTGCGTGTAGAGATTGCGGTCTAATTAGTGGAGCGCGAGGGGAAAACGTGAAGGTAGTAATTAGGCTTTGATGCTAAATTGTTGATGCAGCTTTCCCTGAAAATGTGAAGTTTATTCCCTGGTGTGACCCTCAACCTGACACGTGTGGAATAACAACAAAACTGCCTTGCATGTGCATGCAAAGGTGTCTCCCGCCTCCTTAGGTAAGTGTTTTGTCATGTTGCATTCGGCTCGGCTCATCAGAGCAAGGGCGCTGCGGCTTTTATTCCCCATCCAGTGACCCTCCTTTTGTTTCTCTGCCCCTGTTGTGTTTCAGAAGCACTTCTGCCAAGGTGCTCATGTGAAATGAATGTTTATCAGCAAGACTGTTTAAGCGATGGTGACCAGTGATTTCTACAGGAGATGCACTGTTGGATGCGAGCTTGGCCTGATGCCCGGACGCCCTTTACCACCCTGTATGTGTGATCGCATTAGGAAACCGAAAACAAGACACTGAAAGCCCATCATGCAGTGCTCGCAGCAGCCATCTAAGCTTGATAAAGAAATGCCGCCTGCTCGGGGTACCTGGTAATGGGCAGTAAAGGCTGACAGGTCAGACATCATGTGATGGCCTATTATTAAATGTTTGCGTCATGAAGAACTGTGAATTACTCTGTTGCAGTGGGTGGCTTTTTTATGCTTTAGGTCCATTGTAGCCCTTAAAGTCTGGACTGTTAAAAGAGCATTTTGTCTTGATAAGAGTGGGTTTTTTGTTCAATTTAATTTCGGTTCAAAGAAAAAAAAAAACACTGTGCTTTTGCCCTATTTGTAGCTTGACGTATACTGGCTATTATGAACTGTCATTGCACGGAAAAGAACAGTGCAGAGATCCTAATGCCATTTACACCAAGGACGATAACTATAAAGATAATGTTTTGAAGAAACTGTATGTAGTTTTGTATAGGCTATTTTTCCAACTTTTATTGCAGTTTAGTGAGTGGAATTCACTGTCGTTAATATATAACTGTCATAATTATAGTGCGTAGCTGTACACAAGCATTTGTTGCTGCTGTGAAGTGATGGAAGCTTTTCGAAGTTCTGAATCAATTGAGTCAATTGTTTCGTAAAACGTTTCGAAGCATTCAAAACACCACAGGTCAAGAACAAACAAGGTCAAGAAGCAATTATTATTGTTATTTTTGTATTATATATATATATATATATATATATATATATATCAAAATTAATCTACATAATAAAAGCCAGCGAATCAGAATTTTGAAATGTTTTGAAACCCAGGTTCGACGTAACGAAGCCTCATTTGCTGAATTCACGTGACTTGGCGAGTTCGATACAAGCTCTAAACCACTAATTCGAAACATATGATTCATAAATGTTTCGAAGCTTCACGAAGCAGTTTTGCGAAAGCACCGATCATTACCGCCCTTTCCGTGGAATTTTTTACCCGCGCACCAAACTTACTCTCAGAAAGGACTTTTGGAAAGAAATAGAAGATATTTCACCGTATTAGAAGTCAATGTACCATCAGAATGATTTTGAAACTGAAATTTCAAGGTAAAAACATACATACAGTTGCTTTAATAATAGTTTTAATTCTAAGATAATGGTGAAGTTCACACCTCTATTAGGCTAAATATGTTGGAATCACTTAAAGAACGATTTTGAAGAAAGTTCAAAACATTAGCTTTAAAGAGCGCGCAAGAATTCGAAAACCGCAGCGCGCACTTTGAATAAATAAAACGTTATCGTCCCTCACATATCGTTATCACATTTCCGGGTTTCTCAGCAGCGGAAGTCGTCATAGTTGGGTAAACTTTGAGAGCAGGGAATGGGAGAGTACTACAAATATATATTTTTTTGCATTCCCATCAAGTGTTTTCATGACTTTCAATCAAAGGAAAACATTTGAGAGAGACTGATAACGACAGTCAGAAGAAGGAACGATGTCAATTTATTTATTTATTTTTTGGAATTTGATGCAAAGGCGATATAATCCAAAGTATAGTGTTATAAATGTACATACAGTACATTTAAAACAAAAAATCAAAATATAAAAAACTTGAGGATTTACGTTGCTGATGGCCGTTGAAACGTGTCATCACAGTCTTGTGAAAAGGGTCTGTTGTTGTTGTTTTTGTTTTTAATAGATAATTAAATTATATGTCTTTATTTAATTTCTGAACTATTTCTCTACAGATCAGTAAGAAGAGCAAAGCATTTTGTACACAGGTGTCGTCCGTTCCGGAATTCCTAACAAGGAATCACAAATGAACGATGCACAAATTAATCTTAGAGTTAGAAGAGCTTAAAGATGCTCCAATAATTTGAGCACTAAAGCTGTGCTGCTAATTTCCTTTTTATTGGCACTCTGCATTAAACTGCAGTGCTTAATTACTCATTTCTAGTAATCGGCCTGAACCCGAGGCTGCTGACTTTAACAGTACAGTGCAAACAATAATTAGGTCAATGGCACATTAATTTGGCCAGTGAGCATTGAAATTGAAAGGGAAGTCTTCTAAATATGTCCTCTGGCAGTGAGTCTAGTTCTCCGTGCATTTTACAAATGCATGCAAGAAATCAATACTATTATTAAGAGAAACAAGAGAAATGCTGTTGGATTTAAGAGAGTTCATATTTAGGCTGATAACAACACAAAGATGAATGAATATGCACTTAAGATACTTGCTACAGTTTTGCATTTGTTTGTTTCTTGTGCTCAACACATTTCTTTTGAAATTGTTTAGTTTTCAATAATATGCATATATTAAACATGCTGCCATCGTGTTAGTCATTAAATTCATGCAGGCCCATTTGCATAGTTTTGTTGGTCATATGTTGTATTTGCAGTAGCCAAAATGAATGCATTAATATTAGGTTATTTATGTAAAAATGAAAATGTTAGTGTCATTAACATGTATTATTAGTATTTTGAATTCCTTTTTATATTTTGTTTTCAATTTAATTTTAGTTAACGTTTTAGTAATTTTGTGTGTTTTTGTCATTTTTCTTAGTTTTTTTTAAATGTCTGTATAGCAGTCTATATTGTTTTTTATTCATTTTTTTTAATTTCAGTTTTAGTTATTTCATCAATAAATTAAAGGAGAAATGTTGCCTTGGCATCTAGCTGAAATAAAATAAAAGTTGAAGTGTTTTTTCGTTGTTGTCTTTTAATTTCAGGTGACAAAAATGGTTTTGTTGTTCTAGTTTTAGTTAACTATAATAACCCTGCTCTGTGGAATTAGTGTCTAACGACATCAAACAATTCTATATTTGAATCACTAAAATGCTGAAATCTTTTTATTTTGATATGTTGGTATTTGCTGCATATTTCAACCAAAAGCCAATGCACAAAAGTAAATGATATGTGCTACGAAGATATTTTTACATGGAAATCGGGAGTCTGGGTGAATTTTGAACAGATGCATTGAAATTTGAATTCATTCAATGAATTAAAGTTACCAACTCAAACGCTTTTGCTACTCAAATCAAGTTTAAATCAGAGATGCTGATAAAACTCCATGAAAGTGAAGAGTTGCGTGTCATGAAGCCGTGTTTTGGAAACTTGACCAAATGAAAATGACAATGCACCTATACGATGTTGCTTTACGCATCACAAATATGCAGTGAATATTTCGACATATCGCCCAGCCCTAGTTGAGTGTGTAGAGTTCAGTCAGTGATGGGTTAATTGAGCTCGAGCTGAAGGGCTCATCATGTCTGAGGCAGCAGAAGGAAACGCGCTCAACATTTGCGCTCCGATCCTCCAGCGCGACGCGTCTCTTTCCCACTCGCAGGAATAAGCACATCACTCCGATCGCTTCAGCTCTGTGTGGATGTGCCTTTAACACCGAGCGCCTCAGATTCAGATTCGCAGAGCGCCGCTGGTCTCCGTCGGGTCCGTTTGGATGCTGGACCCCGGAGCCGCGTCCTTCCCAACAGGCTGAGCACGATGCCCGGACATCACTGGATATAAATGACAGATCCAAGTGTGTGTGACTTCAGTGCACCGAACCAGAGGCTGCATGGGAGATGAACGCAGCCGCCAAACATCAGCCTGATCTGCTAGAGAGACCCGCCAGCCTCCTGGTGCCAACATGGGTAAGACAAGCAGATCCAACTCAACTTCATGTGCTGACGGATCACAACAGGCGCACAACACATGAGCTACTTTTTGGCTAGTGTATATGCAGGGGAAATGTCATATAAATGGGTTGTCATAGATGGGTTTAGATTACTAGAGTAACTTGCTTAACTAACTTTGCTATGGATGAGAGATCACTGAGGTGCTGTGAAATACACGTTTCGAGAACTGATGACTAATCGGTATGAATTATATAGATACGATTATACGCAGTATTTTTATTTGAAAGGTTCCTAGTTAAAAGGCAGAAGATGAAGAATCATTGCATTTATTGAATATTAGTGCTGTTTTATTGTCTTTGAGTGCACTTTTTGTCATTTATGCGTTTGAAAAGATGGTTAGTTGCAGATCTTTTTATATTATTATACTCAGTTGCATTGCACATAAAATGTGATTAATTATTGACTGTGATTTGAAAGGATAACTAGCTTCTTGCAGCTTTAAAGGGTTTATTTTAGGTTATTTTTAGGCAGCTTGGTTTTGTTATCTTTCGAGTTCACCTTTTTTGTCATATGCTGTGTGCATTTTAAAAAGGTGCTTTGCAGATGTGAGGTCAGCCAATTATTTTGTATGTGGATGACACGGTCATCATTTCCGAGCACTTGGGTTTACAGTATATTTGGGCTTTTAGACATTTTTTGGTTTATAGATTATAGTTATGGAATATATTGACATTTTTGCAGTTAAAATAAGGTGCAAAGTCAGTCCGTGCCAGAGTATGATGATTAGGTTTTGAATGTAAATGATGGTTTGTGGGTGAAAGAGGGTCAGATAATGAGCTATTAATGTTTATTTATTGTTTGTTTTTTTGTTTTTTTGCAGCAGCATTGAAAACAACAATAAAACCATGCAGGAAATGTTGCCTAATTGACAGAACAAATCCTAGTAGATTTGAGGTGACAGTGTAATCTCAAGGCAAAATGAGTTTTTTGTGCTATTGGTCCCATTTGCTGTATTCCTCTTTGTGGAGATAATGATGTGTGACTGTGGAGTAGCTTCATTCGCAGTATTCTTGAGGTGTTCGGAGATGTCCTCTCAAAGGATTTCTCGGCGAATGCACTGAAACTGCTGTTAGAGATTGCTGCTTGCTTGCTTTATTTGTTTTAACACGTTCTGTCCCATTTCTGGTGCCCGTTTGTTGTTTTTCTTAATTGGTAAATGGAGTCTTGCCAGTGGCACTGTGGTATGTCTTTATCAGGTTGGAGGGTTTGAAGGGTTTCCTGAGGTATCGATAAATGCTGGCTCACTGCTTTTGGATTTGAAAAGAACTTGCCGTTTTTGCCCAAAAACAGAACCTCTGGGAAACCTTCAAGAGACTGGATGTCTGCAAAGAAATCAATACTAATTTTTTAATTTTCCCCATGAATTTGTTCCTGAGCTGCATCCAGTTACTGAAATTGTTGTATTGAGACCTGCTCAGAGAACATACAGTTATTAAGAGATCAGAGTATTGTCATTTCATTGAGAAACACAGCGTATAGCAGTTATTCTTGTTTTGTTTTTGTATTCCAGAGGAGTGCAGATGTGATTTGTAGACTTCACCTTTGATCTGATTTTCTGCTGATCTTTCAGATGAACTGTGGACGTGTGATCGTCATGAATGCAGTTGAGTGAATGAATGAGGGTTGCCAGGTCTACATGACTGTCAACTAGCGCTGACACGGATGCACACACCTTCTAAATGCTCTACTAGTGCTCGCCATAATAAATAGATAGCTCTTACTTTTTCCTTGAAAATGCACGCTTCAAACAGAACAGTCAATGAAGACGAAGAAGAGAATGATGTGTAGCTCCCGGCGCCGATTTATACTGGAGTCGCACCGGTAGTGACGTCATGGCTGTCGCCGGCCAACGAGTTGGTGTTTTTTCAATGTATGCTTCAGACACGGGTCACAACGAGGCGTTCCCCATAGCGACCCCTAGAGGACGCAGTTCGAAGTTCCCATGAAAGGGAATCGCTTAAAACTCAAACTATGCCACTTAGAGATATGCATTTCAGCTTTCTTTCTTCTGCGGAGCTAGATAGCAATATCAAACATGTAAAGATCAAAAACCATCAAGTTCATTGTGAGAAAACAAAACCCAACAGCATCATCATTGCTGGAAGTCTTGTAATATTTAGGGAGCTTTATAGGGTTGCTTGGATGATGTAAATGCATACAGTACTGTGCTGCTTTTTTCATTTTCCTGCAGATTCACATGCCTATAGAATAGAAATGATGTAAGTGTAATTATTTCAAACAAAGTTTTTTTTACTGAATACTGAAAAATACTCATATAGGCCTATGCATATTTTTACTTTTATTTTACCTATAATATGTGGTATAAGTAACAGAATGCTTTGTCTAACCACCAAACTTTGCAAAAGACATGCAATTTTTTGTTTATATTTACTTATATAATATACAATATAATGTCAAACCATTAAACCTTGCAATATGTATGCATTTTTTATTTATTTATATAATATGTGGTATAAGTAATAGCATGTCAAACCATTAAACCTTGCAAAATGCATGCATATTTTTTGCTTATATTTATTTGTTGTTTGTCAGTGCATGAAAACTTGCAGTTTATTAGCATATTTTTCCTTATAAAACATGCAATATAATGTCAAACCATCAAACCTTGCTAAATGCATTTATATTTTTACTTATATAATATGCAGCATAATTAGTATGCTTTGTCAAACCATCAAACTTTGCAAAACGTACACATATTTCTACTAATATTACATAATATATAATACACTTTAAGTAATAGTATGCTTTGTCAAACCTTGCCATGCAGAATGCACATTTTTACTTGTATTTACTTACATAATATGGAATATAAGTAATAGTATTGTTTGTCAAAGAATAATTATGTATGCATATTTTTAAGGTTATGTATATAATATGCAATTTTAGTAATAGTATGCTTTTTCAAAACCATCAAATTGTGCTCTAAAAATAATTTAAAATGAGGACAAATCCATGGACAAGCTGCAGACTTGGCAACTCTGCAAGCAATGTTGTGTATAACTATAAACTGTGTATTGATTTATTTATTTCATCTCTGTGTCAGAATGAATGAAGATCATTTACATTATGCTATTAGTCTTGCAGCAGATGTACATTTCAGATTAACTTGCATAACCGCCACCAGAACAAATGATTACATGTGTACTTGTGCAGATTGGCTTTGTAAATCTGGCATGGAATCTAACCAGCTCTTATTTATATTTGTGAGATTTGATTCAGATCCAGCTCACACGCGTGTGTAACACTGCTGGAAAGTTATCGTGTGCTTGTCTTTGAGATTTGGAGACTCTGCTAAATGCGCCCTACGGAGACTGTGATTGGCACATGAATGTTATAACCTTAAAAAGTCACAAATCTTTTATTCATGTACTGCAGGATAGGACTCAAGGTTTTTAGCTGCTAGTTGGAGCTGTATTTCTAACAGGTTTAGTGGTGGGAAAGCAATGGTTTACAGTCCACCAGCAGGCCTTTACTGGTATTCATAAACCTGGTAAGAAAATGTTGACTTTTTAAAGAAAATAAGAGCAGTTTGTCTGTGCAAAACTTGCTGCCGTGCACTAATGTGTTGTGGGAGTATTGCAACAGTAAGGGTTGTTAGCAAGGGTAGTTAGTTGCTATGTGGTTGCTAGGGTGTTTTGTGTTGTTACTGACTGACTCTCCTGTGATTTTTTTGGTTTGCAGATATGATTTGGGAAAAAAATGGTGCATCTGATCACTTAGTAAAGCAACGGCACATGATTTGAGGAATCAGTAGGACGAATTAGGCATGAAAGTTTAACCCTATAAAGTCTACTGTGTCATATTTGATATGCAAGGCCTCTAAATGATCAACATGGTCTTAACTTTGCTGAATAACCTGTTGCACGCAGGTTTTTCAGCATGCATTCTGTCATCTGATTGACTTTTTTATCCAGTAAAAGCTCTTTTAGTCTAATTTTTAGTACAAACATCCACCTTCAGCTGGTGCTTCACATGTGTTTTTGCGGTCAAATCTTCACTGATTTTTATCAAGTAAGCGTCAGAATAACTGCAGTAATATCTCCAGATGAACACTTACTGGACTGAAGCAGCTCAGCTTTACTTGATTCTCCATCAATCATGTTTTAGAGTCTCAAATCTGATCCTCAGGATCTTTTGAGGAGCGTTTGTTTCCAGAAGCTTTACTTTCACTGTTCCTCAGCGGAGGAATGATCTTCACAAGCCTCCAGAACATCTCACATCTTCTGAGGAGCCTTTATTTCTTCAGCTCTCAATCAGCATTGGATTGCATTGCATTATATGTTTGAATCATTAAACTAAGCTTTTCTATGGAAGCCCGTTTCCGCCACTGAATAAAAAATAAAAAAAGGTTAATTGCGACTTATCTCACAATTCTGACTTTTCTGCGAGTTAAAGTCCAATTTTGAGGGGTGGAAAAAGACTGATATGTTCTCAGAATTGCGAGTTTATATCTCACAATTCTGACTTTATAACTCGCAAAACAATATATTTTTCTGACCTCAATGGCAGATATTTTTTCACGTTTTAAGCAAAAAAAAAAAGTATCTGCTATACTGTCATAAAGATCTCATTGATTTACATTACAAGCATCAGAATTTCATCACTTTTTGTCCGTATAAATATCAGCATCTGCACCAAATTGCATATTTTTGCTCGATTTGAGTCTCCGAATAAAATTGAGCTGTTTTTCATCGATATTTTCACTATATCATATTATATGAGCCATAAAACCTGATCTGTATCAAATATGATTCTCAACAAAAAACAATGTAAACTTCTAAATAGTTCAATAGAAAAAGATATTTCTGACCATTATTGCATATGTCAGGCTTTACAGGGTTAGAGGTTTCATCACATCAGTGCCTTCACAAGCACCTCTAATAATTGCATTAACATAATGAATCTGATGCACAGCGTTTGGCCATTTTCAGCTC